TCAAGTGCAGCAACTTATGTAAGGTACAGACATGATCTGTGGAGGCACTGGGAGGCGAGACGCGGCGAGGCGGATGATCATTCATGACTGCTGTGTGTTGTTGTTTGTTTTGCTCGTGCTTGTTGCTTTTGTGTGGTTGTGCTCACATTGCCAACTACGCAGTAATTATTTGCATAGGCAATAGGTATGCGTAGGTAATAGGCACTCGTTATTGTAGAAATGTGTGCGCTCGTGTCGAGAATGGTCCCAAGACTACACAATAAGTGGAAGGTTTCGCATCGGCTGGCCTAGCGCATTGACTTTTGGACAGAATTTTCGGTCGAGGCGTGACAGAGAGAATGGAGAGTTGGATAGAATCACGTCCTCGGGCAATGAACGAATTGGACGAGGAATGCCTCTGTGCTCGCCTCTGTGCTCGGGGGATTTTGTAGGCGCGAGAGTCTGTTGATTCTTTTTTGACTGCGCATGTGCATGTTCGTCCTGTATATCAGCAGAGACGTCAGCTCTCGCTAGTCAAGTCAGTCGAATTGCCTTTTTAGAGGAGACAGATGTAAGGTTTTCGCTGACTGTTGTCAATTGAGGTGTCTGACTGACGGGAAACTGTGTGTCTGCATAAGGTATGCTGGCGTGTCAAAGTGTGTGAGTGTGTATGTGTATATGGTGATTATTCGCTGTGGCCGTGCCTCTCTGGAAGATGGAGAGAATTGTGTGTATTGTGTGTGTACGGAGAACGTATCTTTTCCGCAAGGAACACCCCCCTTTCCTGAAGAGGTCCACTTAAACAGTGCAATAGGTACCCACTCTTCATCTCTGCCCCTTGCCCCTGTACTAGTGCAAAGAGGGAGATGGATTGCTCCAAAGTGGTTCCCGATGGGCGGAGCTAGACCAGAAACCAAGACCTTCAAATCTCGCCAGACCGGTGGAAGCAGGGTTATTTGCAGAAACTTGATGCCATGGCGGCCGGCTTTTGTGTCCATTGCGATTCCATCATCACTCTAATCAGATTATAAGCCATTCAATATTTGCTACGGCCATTTGCTCCATCCTGATGCGTCAAGGAAGAAAAAAGTCTTGATAGCAGATCCCTCATGCAGAGGCTCCAGAGATTTTACCTACCTTGTGGGAGGAAGGAGACTGAGGCCTTGGGGCCGGCAGATAAACTCTGGCGGGAAAAGGGGGCCGGGGGGCGTGTCTGTAGATGGCGAGAGAAAAAAAAAACACGGACTTTTGTTCCTCAGAACACTGGAGGAAATCCTCCCAGGATTCCTGCCAGAGAAGCAGCCCACTGACTGCTGCAGCCACGACAGATTGAACAGACAGACAAATGATCAGATAGACGTATTACACAGACGCTGCCAACGCCAGTGTGTCTGTCTACAACCTGCCAGCGTCAAACGCAAATGACCTGCAAGTCGCGACACCATATCCATAACAGCGGCAGCTCACGGGGTTTCCGTCGACGCCGTAGCACATTGATGAGCCTCAAGTTCCCAACTGAGTTGAGTAGCTCGGCGCCGTGCCAGCTGAAATACCTACAGGACTTGAGCCCAGTTTGAAGTAGAGCGTCTTCATTGACCAAACCTGAGAGACTAACATGGCAGACTAAATACTTGGTAGCTTCACCAGACACCAACCTACATGCATCACGGCACCGAACCTTCTATGGTGACGATGCCGATGCTGGTGCTGCATGAGTGCTTAACTACAACGTACACCACCATCTTCAGTCTCAATTCTCCCTCTCTCACTCGCTCCCTCGTCAAGCTGGGCAACAGTCTACGCAGTACACTACAGACTACGGATACCTTGGACTGCTGGAGGCGCCGGTCCGTCAGTTCTTGGTCCCAGTTCCAGTCTTGACCACACCCTCGCCGGCCCTGGTCCCTGTCTTGGTTACTTCGTACCCGCAGTGTGCACCACGAATAGCAGCGTGATAATTGCCTTGACCCCCCTTCTTTCGGGCCATTCCTTGCCTCCCTCTGTGCCTCTCTGTTGTTGTACCTATCCATACACATAGTTGTATGTATGAACAGCGGCGGGATACTTTTCTACACACCCCCTTCTCCAAAAAAGAGTGTTTCCCCTTCCAGCCACACCCTCCTGGATCCTGGGTCTGCCTCTCTACCTGACTACGGATACGGATACCTCTATTACCCTTCATAGCGCCAGTCCACGCCAACCAGCGGCACCACTCAAAGTCCAGTCCAGTCCTCCTCCATCCCTCCCTTCCCCCAGATCATTTTCTTCCTCTTCCCTTTCCGTGACAGCTTCATTTCTGTTCGTTTTGACATTCAATTCCCGTCTCTCGTTCACTCCTCTGTACGCAACAAAAGGCTTCTATCTCCTGCCTTCAACAACAAGCTTCCCTTTTCTACATCACCGAGAAAGAGAAGAACAAACAACACGTGGATTCAAGGTACGTTACTGTCGTGGAACGATCCGTAAAACAAGACCCAACACAAGGAAGGAGGCCACGGGCGAGAAGGAAGAGCGGAGAGCGGCTGCCAATGCTCGGCAGGAAATCGCAATCCATTGCTTGCCGCGTCGTGGAATGCCTTCTTGCCTCCTCTTCACTTCCTCCTGCCCCAAAAAACACATTGCCCAATTCCATCTCGTCCCACCAGCCTCTCTTTCTGCCCTACTACACCTCAGTCTCTCCACCGTCGGTTGCCTTGCCCATCGACGACATCTGGGGAAAAAAGGAGTCGCTCGCAGGTTCCTTCAGAAACACACAAGAAACACCAGAGCCCCATATCCAACCAATTCCCTCTGACCCGCAGACGTCAACTTCCTTCACTCCCTTCCCTTCTCTCCCTCTACAACCAACGTCGAGCTTTTTGGAACACCTCTTCAGAGTTACCGACCTGGAGTAGACTCCAATCAATCAACGCCTCCATTATCTTTCCGTTCAAACGACCATCGCGAGCCATCGATTCTTAGCAGATAAACTGACCCCGAAATTCACAGCCTCCAAATCAATCACAATGTACTCCAAGCTCATCACCGCCCTCGCGGCCGTCGGTGCTGGTGTTGCCTCTGGTATGTTTTTGCTCGAAGCCCTCACTCAGGATGTCCTTTCTCTGACCGCAATCCGCTTTCTCCAGCCCAGAGCAGCAACATCTGCTCATCGGCCACCGTTACCGTCACCGATGCCGCCATGGCTACCGCCCTTCCTTGCACTACCTTCACCGGTTCCGTCAAGATCTCCGAGGACATCACCGGCAACATCGATATCAACGGCCCCAAGACCATCAAGGGCGACCTGATCGTTACCAACGTCACTCAGCTTGTTGGCCTTACCTCCTCCACTCTCGCCTCCGTTGAGGGCACCTTCCAGATGCAGGGCCTGACCCTCCTTTCCGACCTGCGCTTCACCTCGCTCGCCACCGTCGGCTCTATCAACTGGGTCACTCTTCCCGCCCTCGGCTCCCTGGTGTTCGGTACCGCCGGTGTCACCAAGGTTAACGACATTCTCATCAGCGACACCTTCCTGAAGAGCTTGGACGGCCTGAACGTCGCCTCTGTCGACTCCCTCCGCATCAACAACAACAACCAGCTTGTTTCTTACAGCAACCAGTTGGCCAACGCCACCAAGACCATCGAGATTAACTCCAACGGCCCCGACCTGGGCATCACCCTCCCCAACCTTATCTGGGCTGGTGAGATCATTATTGCCGATGCCGCCAAGGTCCAGATGGACTCCCTTGAGGTCGTCAACGGCTCCATCAAGTTCGACAAGAACACCTTCACCGAGTTCATCGCCCCCAACTTGACCCAGACCACCGATGGTGATGTCTCCTTCATCAACAACGTCGAGCTCACCAACCTGTCTCTGCCCCTCCTTACCAAGACTGGTGGTGGCCTTACCATCCAGAACAACACCCTTCTCCAGAAGATTGACGGCCTTCCCAAGCTTAAGCAGATTGGTGGTGCTGTTCTCCTCCGTGGCAACTTCACTGAGTAAGTTTTACTGTCTTTCGTAGTTGGTGAGATAAATCTAACATTTTTTGTAGGGTCGACCTTCCCGCTCTCGAGGACGTCAAGGGTGCCTTCGACACCCAGTCCACTGGTAACATTGACACCTCTTGCGACGTCTTCAACAAGATGGAGGGCCGCCAGATCCAGGGTGACTACAAGTGCCGCAGCAACAACACCAACGCCAACAAGGACGGTGACAGCAACGGCGGTTCCGCCGGTGGCTCCAGCAACAACAAGGATGGCGCCGCTGGCAGCGTCGCTGTCAACACCGCCATCCTTGGCGCTGCTGTTCTCTTCGGTCTCACTCAGCTGTTGTAAACGACTGTCACTGGAAATACGGGCTCGGATAATGGTGGCGTTCTCCATACATCTTTCACTGTTTGTGCAATTTCTTTACAGCAATCCTGTCTCAACAGCTTGCGAAACCCCTCACGCATTCCCTAGACTGGGAACCTCCTGCGTATAGGAGAACCTCTAGACTTAATACTGGACGATGGGTGGAGATGTAACGGACCCTCGTCGACTTTTTACTCTCTTTTGCGTGACGAACCAAAAGCACCTACAGACCAACGCGTCGCGTCGTTTCTGCCGCATCATTCGGTTCCGACCGTGCCACAAAACATATCCCGCCTAGACGATTTTGGGAAAAGGATTCGGTCGAGCGGCATGTCGAGAGCTTGGATGATGGGTGGTTAAACACGGGCAGTGGCAACGGCAGATACCTGGCGGAGGCGTGAGATTGATGGCGGACAAGAAGGCGATAGGCAACGAAGATAGAGAGGGCTGTAGTGTGTATTGAGGATCCATGATGTGTATACCTTTTTCTACTTTTAACGTTCCACTGTATCTCATTGCCTATAAGTGATGTCTCATGTGAAATTGCTACATGAATCGACGTCATGCCAACCTGCTCGGGGAATGCCGCTTTATGGGTTCTTTGACAGCGAGCTTCCAATTGTTTATACCTTGATCAAGTGTTTGCATCTCATAAGATAGGTACTTATGGCTTCTAATGTTTTACGTCATTGGTAGATACCCTTGTCGAACTTTTCAGTATCGAAGAACTTCGGCACTATAACATTGCCGTTGAATACACGTCCATCCAGTTCATTGACTGCCTATTGATAGTCACTACGTTAGCACATTTCTTGCTGTGTATGTGTGTGGAATGTTGTTTTGGGGTAAAAAAGACTTACACGAAGGGCAGAGACCTGGTCTGTAAACCTGATAAAGACCTGTCTCTTCTCAACGTCGATGTATAGTCGCTCGACTCGACCGTACTGCAAGAAGATCTGGTCAGTATTTGGAAGACGACAAAGACGTTCTCCATCCTTGAATACGCAAAGAGGGCAGGCGTCTCTTTGGGAAAACTTGAAAGCCTTACCTTTTCACCGCACTCCTCCCCAATCTCCTGCCCCAGCCCATTGGCAATCTCGCCCTGCAGGTCCTCCATGTTATCCAGCATGCGCTGCAAGACAATAACCTCGCTCATGGGCCCGCCAAACTTGCCGCCGCCGCCGCCGCCATCGATCTCGTCTTTGCGTTTCCCGCCAATGACTTTGGCGCGGTTCCCCGGCTCAGCCCACCCGCCGCCCTCTGCGTCCGACTTCTTCTTGCGCTTCTCGACCTGTACGCGTAGCGGGTTGACGATGCCGGACTCGTCTGCGCCTAGGCCGGAGCCCTTTGTCCAGCCGTATTTGCTCATGAGGCGTTGGGCGAAGCCGGCTTGGCCTGGGCGGGAGGATCGCGGGGTTGGTTCTCCTGATGCGGGTGGTGGTGCGCTGCTGGCGCCGAGGCCGAGGGCTGGTGGTGGGGAGTCTGGGTCTGAAGGGTCTTCTTCGTCTGCGGGCGGTTGCTTGGTGGAGGATGGGGTGTAGCGGACGGGGGCGCGGGATATCGTTGCTTCGTCTGTCGCTGCCGGGGGAGGAGGGGGAGGTGGTGCGGACGCGGAAAGGGCTTGACGGCGGGCGTATGCGTCGTCTCCGGTGGCTGCTTCCGGGGCTCGTGGTTCGGCTGGGGGTGGTGATGTTGGGGGCGGGGGGACGAATGAGTACTCGGCTGGAGGGGCGAACTGGTCTGAGGAGGGCGTGTAAGTAACATGCCTTCTCTCCGCACAAAAGATGGAGGGAAGACTCACTCATCGCCGGCCGGCGCTCCGTCTCTTCGTCGCTATCATCGCTCAGACTCTTGCGTCTCCGGTGTCGGTAGAGCAGCCTCTTCCACTCCTGCACCTCGTGGATCCGCTCATCGCTGCGCAGGTACTCCTCGACGTTGGTGGGCTTCGTCGGGTCGTAGATGTCGTCCCAATTGGTCTCGGCGGGCTGGTCGTTGTTGCCCTTCTTCTTCTTCTTCCTGCGGCCGCCGCGCTGATGGCCTCCGCCTCCGGCACCGGCGCCTGCGTTGGCGCTGTAGCGCCATTCGTCTTCCTCTGTCACGGCCCAGTCGGCGAGGGTGCTCTTTGGCGGCGGTGGTTGCTGGGCGGCTGTCGTCGAGGATGTTGGCGCGGAAGAAGCTGCTGTAGAGGCGGCGGTGGCTGATACGTTCGCGCTCGGTATCGTCTTGGGGAAGGTTGACTTTGGTTTCGCTGTCTTTGCTTGTGGTCTGCGTATGGGCTGAAAGCGGAGGGCTGCGGGAGGGAGGTAAGTTTCTGGTGAACCTCAAAAAACAGTGATTTAAAGGAGAGCGGCGGTAATACATGGGTCTATGGGCTTCTTCGCAGCTGTCCCATCCTTCGGGTCGGCGACCGTACCGTCTTGGTTGTAGCGGACGGGAGCGCTCGAGATCGTGGCCGAGGGGTCGGCGACTGGGTCGAGGAGGTTTGCGTAGAGTGATAGGCCTCCTCGCGCGGGCGGAGGTGGAGGTGGCGGCGCGGCCATTGAGCTTGCTTTCGGCGCGATGTGGTACCTTTGAAGGATTTGAGCGGTGGTCTGTCCCCGTGTCGAAGGATCTCGGTGGTATTTTGCGTGGTGGACGCGTATCAGCAGCGAGGGTTGAATTTGTCGCAAAAGAGACGACACGATTCGTTCAGCCTGGTTCGCAAGGCGAAGTCGAAGCTGCTGGGAAGCTTGCCCGATTGACCCACTCGTGGGGTGCGAGCCTCGAATGTCAATGTGCAGACGGTACCTCAAAGTGCCAGGTGCCTGACGTAAAGAACGGATACGAATAAATGGGCTTACCTAAGGCAATCAACCAAACCCACCGGTTCGCTGCCGTTCTTCCGCCAGTAAAGCGGAGCCCGGCCGCCTGGGTTTCAGCGCATCGACGACTGCTGGGCCACTGAAAACCCACCCCTGCGCGTTCCGGCACAGCGCCCAGCCCGCCGCGCAAGCGCATTTTCATGTTTCTTCGGGGGTCTTCGTGGGGGACGAGCCACCGGTTGATCTGGGAAGGGCGGGTATTACAGTGGTTCAGTCAACTTCAGTGGGCAAATGTGGCAGTGGGCTAAGAAAAAGCCGACCGGGGTGATCCGGCTTGTCCCAGGCTGGGCTGGTCCCGAGCACATCATCGTCCTAGTCAGGTTTCCCTATCAGTCGACCATTGTGCCTCAACTTTTGTTTCCAACGTAGACTTGTATTTTACCTCTATCTCAAGGTTGTTACCGTTGAACGGCAAACTCACATAAGCTCTTTGAATATCCTAATTGTCTGCCCTAGACCAATCATCCGGGTTATATCCTTGTCTGGACAAGTTCATCTGATCGTCCACCACCTTGCCTCACTTTACTCCAAAAGCTTCTCCGAATTCGTTGGTGGTTGCAACTCTTCAACTGCCGTCCGGTCAGGCACAATCACACCCTGTCATCCAATAGAGTGAGAGATAAAACTCATACGTCAAGTGCGCAAAGATGGCATTGACTCTGCAAACCGCCATCAACGGCCCGGCCAACTCCACGGCCGTCATTGTGCCATCCAAGCCCAATGCTCTCACTGCCACCTACGGCGACCTGGTGAGGGAGACCTCGGCTTTCCAGCAGAAGCTGGCCGCCATCGGCATCACAAAGGCCTCCCCCGTTTCCATCGCGACTGTCAACTCATATGAGTTCATCGTCTCCTTCCTGGCCGCCTCGTGGCAGCGTGGCATCGCCGCCCCTCTGAACCCGGCCTACAAGCAGGACGAGTTTGAGTTCTACATTGAGGACGTCAAGTCTGCCATCGTGCTTGTTCCCAAGGGTGCCTATGCCGCCGATGCACCTGCCGTCAAGGCCGCTAAGAAGTTCAACGCCGCCGTCGCTGAGACGTATTGGGATGAGACCAAGAAGGAGGTCGCGCTCGATGTCAAGGATCTGGGACAGCTCAAGGGCAAGGCACCTGAGAAGGTGTTGAAGGCTGAGGCCGACGACGTTGCCCTGGTTCTGCACACCAGCGGCACCACCTCCAGACCCAAAGTTGTAAGTCAGAGTTGGTCTACTGAGATTCAAAGAGTAGGGAAAGCTAATGTCATATGTAGGTCCCTCTTACACACCGCAATCTGACCAGAACGATGAGTAAGTCGAAACCTCGCAAGAGATGAACTGAGATGACAGGCTAACACCAATGATAGAGAACATCCAAAACACATACCAGCTGACAAGCGAGGACCGCACCATGCTGGTCATGCCCCTCTTCCACGTCCATGGCCTTCTCTGCGGTCTCCTCGCACCTCTAGCCTGCGGCGGCTCCATGGTCGTCCCGAACAAGTTCTCGGCCACCGAGTTCTGGGGAGACTTCATCACCCATAAGGCCAACTGGTACACCGCCGTGCCCACCATTCACCAGATCCTCCTCAAGAACCCGACGCCCAGCCCGCTGCCCGCCATTCGCTTCATCCGCTCCTGCTCTTCCCCTCTGTCGCCCACCGTCTTCCACCAGCTCGAGGAGACCTACAAGGCGCCCGTCCTCGAGGCCTACGCCATGACCGAGGCCGCCCACCAGATGACCTCCAACCCCCTCCCGCCCGCGAAGCGCAAGCCCGGCACCGTCGGCCTCGGCCAGGGCGTCGACGTGCGCATCCTCAACGACGCTGGTGACGAGCTCGCTCAGGGTCAAGAGGGCGAGATTTGCATCCGTGGCGAGAACGTCACCAAGGGATACCTCAACAACGACGCTGCCAACGCCTCGTCGTATACCAAGGGCGGCTTCTTCCGCACGGGCGACCAGGGCAAGAAGGACGAGGACGGCTACATTGTCATCACGGGCCGCATCAAGGAGCTCATCAACAAGGGCGGCGAAAAGATTAGCCCAATTGAGCTCGACAACGTCTTGACCCGCCACCCTGCCGTCTCCGAGGCCGTCAGCTTCGCTATCCCCGACGACATGTACGGCCAGGATATTGGCGTTGCCGTCGTTCTCAAGCCGGGACAGCAGCTCAAGGGCGAGGAGCTGAAGGGCTGGGTGCAGGAGAAGCTGGCCAAGTTCAAGGTTCCCAAGAAGGTGAGTCGACAAACTCTCATAAGATCATCTAGAAACATCGACTAACAAAAGTCCCAGATTTACTTCACCGAGACGATGCCCAAGACAGCCACGGGCAAGATCCAGCGCCGCATCGTCGCCGAGAAGATGCAGCAGCAAGAGGCCCCCAAGGCCAAGTTGTAGACCAGCCGATGGGTAGACCATAGAGGTTCAGCCATGCTCATGGCGAACTTAGACCGTTGTAAGACAGTAGAAAGGGGTATTCTCGTAGATTTCACATACATCTGGCGTGAAAGACAATGTAGAGAGAGATGAGAGATCTTGTGTTTTTTTTTTTTTAGATACCTAGAAAGAAAGATAGAATAGAGGGATTTCCAATATCTATAAGAACGCCCGCCGCATACACACGTAACGTAATAACCATAATACCTGACCAGTTCTTCATGAACCTCGTCAGGCAGCGCCGCACATTCATGGGGCCTTCATCTCGCCAACCATGAACATGAACCCTTCCCAGGCGTAAAACCCAGGGAATCATCCTATCCCAAGTAACTCGAGCGCGAAAGGAGAAAACAGAACAAACCATCTCCCTTAGTCGTAGTGACCTCCCTCATCCAACTCATCGTCAAGATCAGGATCCTCACCCTCATCAGAATCATAAAGCTTCTTCGGCTGCTGATCCCCTCCTTGCTTCTGCTGCGGCGACGCAGACGTAGACTTCGGTACGATACTCTTTGGCGTCACGGCATGCAACTCAACCCAGCACGAGTTCCCCTCGGGACCGTTCCATCGTACAGGGTCCCTCTCACCGGCACCGTCCGCCGGGACGGGCTCCGGCAGACCGTCCCCCTGGTGCAGCGCGTACTCCCTCGATATCCTCCTCACCTCGGCATTCGCGTCCGCCAGCGCGGCGAAGGCGCCCATGACGGTCGTGGTGGCTGTGAAGTCACCGTCGGCGCCGCCGTCGCTGTAGAGGACGAGGGCTATAGTGTGGGGGAATTCGCGGCGTGAGGGGGGCAGGGCTGCGACTGAAGAGGATGAGGATGCCGTGGGAGGAGGAAGGCGTTTTGCGGGTGGTGGTGTGGTTTGCACTGCGCTTGTTGCCGAGGCGTTGCGCTTGTGCGCTGATGTGTCTTCGGCAGAGGACATCCTGACTGTCATTTGCTTTTGGGCGGTGTGTGAGGTTGGGTTTGATCTGTGGTGGGACGCAAGGTTGGTGTGTAGCTTTATTGCTGAGAGTTCGGAGGTTAAGTTGCTGGTACAAGGTAGTGTGATGTGTAAAGTGAGGTGAGATAAGGTAAGTAGTTGTGAGACCTCTATCGGTGAGATGGTCAATGGCTTGCAGATGGGTGATGCAAGGGATGGGAATGTCAAGCTTATTTGATCGTGAGTTGTGTAAAAGTTGTGTAGTTACAGATCGTAGGAAACACAATCAGGTTCTCTCCCAGTGCCCTTCCCAATCCTCTTTTATATCAAAACTGGAATCCCGTCTCACGCGATATGTGGATGAGTGATTATATGACTGATCCCAAGTGTCACTAACAAAGATACGGGAACTCGGTGGAGACCGCGCGCCCGCTCACCCAGCTCCAACTCTGCCCGTTTCGCCGTTTCGCTCTTCACCTCGGAGCTGTGCAAGCCCGCACTGCCCATTGAGTCAAGGTATGGTAAGGTACGAAGTGCGACAGGTCCTGGTGGTAGTCTCAGCAATTTGCTCGGCACTGGCCTGACATGGATCGATACAATTGCCTCGGTGGAGCGGGAAATGCATCACAAGACGGCGGGGGGTTGGTCGGGATGGGATCTTGGAAAAAAAATAAGTCTCGGCTGGTCCGATGACCGGCGCAGGTCCCCATCGAGCTGCTCGCGCCGCCCGGGGGGAGCAGAGAGGCTGAGAAGCTGCCCTGTGATGACATACTACCTTACCTAGGTAGGTATCTGAACCCAGACCAACAAACTGGGACCTTGCTCCCAGCTTCGGGGTTGAGCTCGAATGCGCGAAGTGCGCGAACCCGGCGTGAACCGACTGTAGCCAGCTGTGTGCCCCGCTGCGGGCGGGATTTCTCCCAGCGCCCCAGCGGTGTTGAGGACGGAGGGTCAGGAGGGGGCCTTGAATTCCGGAGCATTTAATTCTTTCTCAATTGGCATTCGGGAGGAGGAAGAGGGGCTCGGGAGCTGGGCTGAGGGGATGACGGGAATTTCGCCATTTTCGGGGGTAGGGGATAAAGATTCATTGGGGTTAAAAGCTGGAGCCGATGCCCCGATGGTACCGGGGATTTGGGGAATAGGGTGACTCAACAACACCGACGAGGTTTCAACACCTTTTTGCTCACTCACTCTGTACCTGTCCTGAATGTTTGATGGGTGCCATGTCAGTCACGCACTTGCCTTTCGAATTGTGTCCGACCTAGGTATTCTCGACCAGCAGTCGCTGGGCTGGGCTACCACCCGAATACCAGCTTGCATTCCCGCCTGTGAAGCCAATTGTCAATCGAAACATGGCAAGCTACCGACGCTATCTTGAGCTTCAAAGTCAACGGTGATGGGTACGAATCTAAAGAGTCTGGTACATTAGTAATGGAAAAGTCAACATCCACTACACGCGAGCTCTCTAGAGATCACGGACCTCATGTCGAGATCTGGGACAGTGCCATCCTATCCATGGCCCTTCAAGAGAAGCCAACAAAGCCTGGACATTCTCAAACGACACCCATAGTTAGCAACAGGATCATGCGGTCTCGATAGACTCCCGGGGTAGCCTCTAAATCTGACCATGGCCATTCCACGATTTACATGGCTATTGGCGAACTGCAAGGTCTGATGTAAATTGAGAGCCCCCGTAGGTCGGGAGCAGCATCTGAACACCGCACTGTCGTTATCTGAGATGCCATCCGATCTCTGGCAGAAAGGGGGCTCCGAGCTCAGGTTCCAAATGTGGAAAGAAATCATGTCATTGGTCCATAATTGAGTACACTTGAGTTTGCCTCGTCCCATTTAACCATTTCCCATTAAACTGCGTCCATCACAGTTTCACTGGCCAAGAGAATCACACAAAGACCGACATGATACAAATCGCTAGTCCGTTTACGCCAAACAAAACAGGTCTCTTCCTCATCCTCATCAAGCCTCGGCCTGCTCCTCAGCAGCGACTCTGAGCTCATAGTTGAGCTCAAAACATTCAGCAAGAAGCTCGGTGACACTGCCCTGCCCTTCTGGGATATCGTCGTTGATCATGAATTTGCCATCTTGACGCATGTTGTCGATCGAGTGCAGCTGCAAGCAGTTTGTTAGTCTGGCTCAACTCGTTGATGAAGCACAGCATACCTTCATGCTGTAAGGGTACAGCTCCCTCACAGACTGAACACCACCGCTATTCTTGACCTCGATGAGACATCGCTTGAGCGTTTGGAGCTGGTTGTAGATCGGCAGCAAGGCTTCCGAAACAGGCTCTGACGAGATCATCAACGAGTAGATGTAGGCGTAGCTTCTTCTGATGAGATAGAGCATTGTCTGTCATTGGTGTCAGTGGAGCTCTGTCAAAACATGGGTTCATCTGACTTACACGCTGAACGTAGAGCTCTGCAGGCTTGCCTTCGTCATCCACCCAGTTGCCTTCGACTCTGCTCTCGTCGATCTTGTCCAGCTGTCTCTGGAAATCAAAGAGATCCGCTTCACGAAGGGACCATGCTTGCGTGATCGAGAGTTTCTCCAGTTCGTTGCGAATGCGGAACAAGATGTCATACGTTGGCTTGAAAGAGTCGGGAATCACTCCTTTCCTGAGTAAAAGTTAGCGACGTTTTCATGGGCGATGGCGTATCCTGTACCTCTGAAGAACGAAGTCAGACCACAGCAGGCATTTTTCCAGCAAAGCGGTCACCTCATCAAATCCGCCCGGTGTCTTCCCGTCCGCAGTCAACAGCTTGCCCTCCTGTCTCTTCTCCTCGATCTCCCGCAATTGAGCTTGCAGCTTCTGGACTTCTGATGGTGAGAACTGTAACACTGTCAGCTATGTCGCGGCGCATTCCTCTCGACGCTGACCATACCTTTGTTCGGGTGTTTGCCAGAGACATGGATCTCAGGATAGAGATCAGCTTCTCATAAGTCTTTGGCAGGGGGTCCTCAAATCGCTCCAATCGCTTTCGAAGGTTTGCCAGAGACTTATCACAGAGCTCCAGTCGGTTGGAAAGCAGGGTGATGAGGTATGGAGGATACTCGGTCTCGGTGGTCTTGACATTCTGCTCGAGCTTTGTCAGGGTGTGTGAGATGCTTTCCAAGTCCTTGACGGAGTACAAGTCGACTTCGGTGAGGTGGTCCAACAATCTTCGGACGGTCGAGGTCAGGGCATAGGCAGCTGGAGCTTCGTTGTTTCGCCCGATGGTCATGAAAAAGAGCGAAAGTAGTTGGAAGCAGCTCTCCAAGACTCTGTCCACTGCAGCGCGGGTTAGCCGTTGACCCCGCACAGTCGGGACGATAGCGCATTACCTCTGTTCTCCTCCCTTCGGTCAGACGTCCGGGCTTCATTGAGCAGGCGAACCTGCTCGATCGTCTCTTCGTAGAGCGGGAGAACGTCCTGGCTTCGAATATAGGTAGTACGATCCTGCTTCAAGAGCAGAAGTCTGTCGCGGATCGCAACCAGCTTGTCGAGAATCTCCTTCTCGCGGTCGTCCCGCGGCGGGGGGCATGTAGGGGTATCCATCTCGCGTGACGTAACTCAAGACGGACGTTGGTTGCTGGGAGGGTTGTAGAGCTGAAATATGGGCGACTGCCGAGTGTTCGAGATCATGGACGGCCAAGGCATGCACCTCTTGCGCTGAAAGTCGATACCGTTACAGGTCTGCCAATGATCCAACATTCAACGAAGCACGATAGCGGGGCCAAAGGTGATTCACAGGTCGGGACGGGAAGCTAAAGTCCGATCGTCGGTAGTGTAAGGTAAGCAATTCCCCGTTGCACTGGGGGTTGTTGGTGTTGGTGAACAGAGTTGTATTGGTAAGAAGCCTGTGACAAAGAATGGGCTGCCGTGGCATCCGTAGAAGATGCGCAGACGGGATTGCGTATGTAAGTAAAATGCGGATGATGCGCTCGTTGGCTTGGCCGGAAACCAATGGAAAGGTGCACCTCAACCAGCGACGCTTCTGATAGAGAAGGTGGGGGTGACTGACCTGCTTGGAAAGTCAAATCGAGGTATCGATGTGGGGCATGACCCAAGTGTCACCGACGGCAGCGGGGCAGGCATGCCCAGGTCGTCGATCCGGGATCCTATTGGCTCGCACCTGTGTCCAATCACAGATCTTGAAGATAGGCCCACCACTGGCGGGCTTTAACCGAAACCGCCGAATGTTCATTAGGTCTTGAAAGCCCTGCCAAATTTTGACTCGGTGGATGACCTCGCGATACCATATTGACTGCTCCTTTGCAAATCACACTCACCATCCGCGAAGACAACCTCCAGTCGCAAACGCCCAAACCAGTCACAATGTCGAACGCCGAGCTCGCCTCTTCCTACGCGGCCCTCATCCTCGCCGATGATGGTGTCGAGATCACTGTGCGTCCGCCCCCGAGTCACCCCGCCACGAAAAAAATAAATCACATCAAATAATACCAAAATATCACGACAAGGAACGAGACTAACAGTGTTGGAATTTTTAGGCCGACAAGCTCCAGACCCTGATCAAGGCTGCCAAGATCGAGGACGTTGAGCCCATCTGGACCTCCCTGTTCGCCAAGGTACGACGCGACGACAATATTTTCCACCGATACGAGGAAGGACAACGAAGGCTGATTTGAGATTTCACATAGGCTCTTGAGGGCAAGGACGTCAAGGACCTGCTCTCCAACGTTGGCTCCGGTGGTGGCGCTGCTGCCCCCGCTGCCGGCGGCGCTGCCGCTGGCGGTGCCACCGAGGCTGCCGCTGAGGAGGCACCCAAGGAGGAGGGTACGTTCAAAATCCCACAGTCATGGACTCAAATTGTGCATGAAGTAAATACTAACACCCGCTACAGAGAAGGAGGAGTCCGACGAGGACATGGGCTTCGGTCTCTTCGACTAAGCGATTTTTCCTGCGACGATTTCCTTCCCTTTGTAACTTCAACTGCATGGATCCGGGGGTTCTACGATTCGCGCGATCATAAAGGATTGGGTGGAGGCACGATATCCTGCTGCCTGGACAGAGTAGCTCTCATACGATAATGTGAAGACGCTCTCTACGCGGAGTTCACTGGACATCCTCAAAAAATGAAAGTGGAATTTGGCATGCTTTGAAAATACCGGGACCCGCGCGGTGAATGGAGTGAGCCGTGGACGTCGACATGATACACCAGCTTAGCTCGAGTTGGAATGGCTTATGACTCTACCTTGCTTCTCGAAACTGGTGACTGTGATTCCTACTTGGCCCGTCAAGCAACATCTATACGGGGTAGTCGGCACATGTATGTCACCATACCCCGCGTCATCGGCATGCCTCAATCGGGATATGCTGGTGGGTGAGAGTGAGGCAGACTAAAAATACATGCCGACCCTTCATGGGCTTAACATGTCTATCAAATCCAGGATTCCTATGGTCACTAGTACTCATGAGTAAGGCTAGGTAATCAAGACCTTATCAATTGACAGCTACAGACTGGATACTTTGCCTTCGTCACAGCCACCCAGCATCCGCATATTATCGAATTTCGATACCCAGTCGTTACGGCCCCACCATCCATGATACTCTCCGGTTTACGCTGTCTCACCCTTATGTCGTCCATGATTTCACTGCCGACCTTGCCAGATTCAAGTTCACGCTCCTTTCAGGTTCGGCTGGAATGCGTTGACGGCGTCATATCAGAAAAGCAGGGGAGCGGGACGACGGTAGGAATATATCGTTGACTGTTCTCAATTCTTGTTACACTCGATGAGTGTCATTTAACTAACCCCCTGACATCCGCAACGCCATCATCTAATGCAATCTTCCGTCGTCCTCAGTGTATTGGCACTGGTTTCCGTACAACGCCCTGAGGAATCAGGTACCTTCCCTCGTCCCGAGAATGCTTATTTGACAATAAGAACAGCGCTGGGAGTGAGCCCTGCCTCCTTCAAGGTCTTGCTGAGATCCATGTGGCCCTCAAACGTCTTGCGAGGGAACGTGGTCGAGAAGCTCGTGACTGCCGTTCCGGTCTCGGACCGGAGCATCTCAGCCACCTCGAACAGCGTCGTCTCAGCAGGCAGGGTTTTGACAACGTTGCCGCCGGCGGTCTGTAGGCGCAAGCGAGCCTCGTTGTGGTTGGCGACCGTCTTCGGGACGGCAGGTGCGGCGGCGGCCGGGGCAGCCTCGGGGGCTCTTCCCTCTCTCGCGGCCTTGGCCTCCTCGGCCTTGCGGCGACGCTCCTCCTTGTCGGCCTCAATCTTGGCCTTGATGCGGCGCTTCGCCTCGATGTCGTCCTGCTTCTCCTGACGCTTCTTGGCGGCCTCCTTGATCTGCTCCTTGCGCGCCAATTCTTCCTTGGCCTCCTGGGTCTCTTTTGTGGCCTTCATGCGGATCTTCTCATTGCGCTTGGCATCTTCCTTGTCGAGGAGGGCCTGCTTCGCCTTCTTCTCCTTGAGCTGCTCTCGGAGTTGGATGAGTTTCTCCTTCTTCTGGTCGTCTGTGAGGGGAGCAATCTCCTCGGTCGACTCTGAGAAGTCGGTGTGATCCCTAGTATTCGAGATTAGTACTTAGTATATCCAGTCTGTCCTGTAAGAAAGGCGACTTGTGTGTAGCGAATAGAGTTTAATGGTGGTGGTGATTGGATCAAAGCAACTTACGTCTTTGTTGCGTGGTATGAGGCAGTATCCTGAGACCTGAAGCGCTTGCCGCATTCATTGCAGACAAGGGACTTTGCCGTACCGCCGTTCTCAAGGGCCTCGATGTTGGCTTGGACTTCAGCGGCATCATCGTCGTCGTCATCCTTCTTGGCTTCAGCAGCGGCAGCAAGCTCCTCAAGGGGCTTGTCTTGGTTAGTCTCGAGCCACTCGAGAGCTCCGTTCACTGTGATCAGTCAGCAACACTATCTCACACTTCATTGTCACAATGTTTGATGAAATCTTGTTGGGTAGTGTAGGAACTCACGGTTTCCAGTCTTCTTCACGGCAAGCTCAGCCCGGGCCTTCTCAAAGCCCATGTCGAGCAGTTGGTCGAGATCTGACTGTGTCATTTTGGTGGATAGTGGTGGTGGATGGCGGGGTTGTTTTTTCTTGGGTGGTGAGCTGAATCTGTCTGCTTGAATGAAGGCAAAAAAGTCTTTATTAAAGAATGTGTGAGTGACGTGTGAATCGCCGTTTGTATCCTCCTCAGCTTACCTATCGGAGATGGGTTGAGTTGTGAATATGATTTGAGATATTCCCGTTGCTGTATGAACAAAGCTGGCACGGCAGGCACTGTTGAGTGGTTGTTTCCTGAGACGTCATCTGCAGGTGCCTTCTCCGGTGAGCTATGGATAGAGGGGCGACCTGGCAGTGGCTGGAGCGCGGGAGGGACCGACAACACGGACTCTGGAGCTCTTTAATCCTCATGCTTTGTCAGGTAACGTAGGTACCTAGGTATTTGATGGTCCTTTTCCTCTCTCCATCCCTTCTCTGGGTTCTACCTTGAGTTTGTAAATTAGGTCCATTTTGTCCACAGCTGTCAAGGCTGCAATGAGTTTCTTGCTCTCGAGACTGCAGACCAAGTAGGTTCGTCGACAGAGCCAAGTACCGTCATGGCACCTGGTATAATTAGAAGCGCCACATGAAGGGGTCCCTTCCACTTTTAGTGGATGAACATGATCAATCAAACCCCCGGGCCCGGATTAACCACCCCTGCCCCAAGTTCCCAAGGGAAGCTGCGAGTGGAGGCCCGAGGCCCCAGAGCGCGACTCCGATTGACCGTCCGCTAAACTTGTAAGGGGGCCACTGGGGGGGCTAGAGAGTCTAGAGTGTACCTTAATGAAACCTGGCCTGGACTGCCCGACACTGAGAGTGAGAGAGGAATTGGTTTGCCCAGAAGCCGGACTTTGTGCGCATCCTCCCTATCCCAATCGAGTCCAGCCCAGTTTGTCGTTGGCTACCTTAACTGCTTAGGTACCTTACGGTGGTGTGTATTACGTCGTGGGCTCTTGCGTGCGAAACACCTGCTTTTCTGCCCGTACTTCGTACCCGTCCCGAACCGTGGTCAATTACCCTGCTTGCCTTTCTTACCTCACCATACCTTACCTACCTACCTTACCACAGGTTCCCTCCTCACGTTCGTACTCTTTCGAGAAACCTTGACCTTACCTTACAACCCATCGATTTTTCTAATATCGCCCCGCGCGCAACACTCCTTCGACATCGTCTCGCCCCCTCACATTTATCTCGCAAATTCTCTTCCTTCTGTTAGCCCAGGCCGAGGCCTGTTTCGATTGCGCCGGATTCTCCTAATCTACTCTACATCACCACTGGCTTTGCACCCACTCCAAATCCACCATGTCGGTCGAAATCGAGCCCACCGAGTTGAGCTTCAAGCGTACGTCCCTCCTGCGCGCATCCTATGCGGCATCGTGCTGACGTTTCTCTCCTTTCCAGGTCCCTTCACTGTCGAAGTCGCTCGGATTCTGCGGATCAAGAACCCGAACCAGTCCCCCATCGCCTTCAAGGTATGCGGCCACTCAATTCCTCGGCTGTCACGTCACCCTTTGCTCACAGATTATGCGACCAGGTCAAAACCACCGCCCCGAAGCAGTACGATCCCTTGCATGCCGTGCAGCCTTCGTAAGCGACTGACGACATATCCAGGTACTGCGTTCGCCCCAACTCGGGCCGTGTTGAACCTGGACAAGATGTCGAGGTTACAGGTTGGTGCTTCGCGCAAACGCCAGGTGGTCACATGTCACTAACAGTGTTCAGTCCTTCTCCAGGCCATGAAGACAGAGCCAGCTCTCGACACCAAGTGCCGCGACAAGTTCCTGGTCCAATCCGTCTCCATCACTGCTGACAAGGAGTTCGCGAGCATCGCCAATATTGTACGAAAACCCCCACATTGATTCCGAAGGTCTGGCGCACAAGCTAATCAAACGACGGATACCACAGCTCGACCAGACTGACAAGTCTTCTCTCATTGAGCGCAAGATCCGCGTCAACTGGCTCGCCGCCGAGGACTCGGTATCCCTCAATGGTGGCAGCGCTTCTGCTGTCGCATCCACACCCAATCGCCAGTCCGTGGTCAACGGCGTATGTTCTCCGACAACTCGTCAACTCTGGAAACGAAACACTAACAAATCGCAGGACTATACCCCCGATGTCTCCAACGTCTACTCGTCTCCTCAGCAGGATGCCGATTCCGGCAGCCCTGCGCCTGCTGCCCGACCATCGACTTCCGATGTGAAGGAGGATACCGTTTCCGAGAAGGCGCAGTCTACAGTCAGCGCTGCGAGTCACGTTGTCGCCAATACCGCCCAGGTTACTTACGAGGAGTTGAAGCAAAAGCTTTCCCAGGCCGAGGCCAAGATTGCAAGTCTGCAGGACACCAGCGGCCTCCGGCAACGCGTCAAGACCGAGACTGAGAAGCTCCCCACTGCCCAAGAGGCTGCCGCGGCGGTGCGGCAGGGAGCTGAAGGTGTCTCGGTACAAATTGTTGCCATTTTGTGCTTGTTCAGTTTCCTTCTTGCTTACTTCTTCTTCTAAACCAATTTCTTGGTATTCCCTGACAATTCCCCCTTATACGACCTTTCTACTGGAGGACTTATGAAGCGCTAAGTAGCACCGGGTCGAGGCAGTATTGCTGGTGACGCCCTTGTAGTTACTTGCCAAAAGACAATGGCACGATGAGCGGAAGTTGGCGATGCGGTGAGGTGGATGGAGAGGAGGACCATCGACAGACATGGAACGGAGTCAAATCACATGTAACCATAAGGATTCTTTTTGTCGTAACGGCGTGGCGTCCCGGACGCGAAGTAGTTGATTTCAGAGACTGACCTCTTGACGATGTTCATCTTTTGGTGTTTTGTGACTTTGTCGATTCAACGTTATGAATGGAGCCGCTTTCTACAGCCTGAAAGGTGTATCTCACAGCACAGAACTGAACAACGCTGGAGGCTGCCCAGTACGAAACTCCTCGTAACTTTGCCTAGATGCAGGGTACACGACATTATGAAATTCTTGTTGTGGAATACTGGCCAATCTAACAGTCGCCATATCTTACCAAAAGTTGACAACCACGAGCTTGGAAGCAGTTTAGAGTCTACTGTACGAACTAGCTCTACGAAAGGAACAATACTAGAGTGGCTTACCTGGACGCTGGCGACCCAGCAACTCAAAGACTCGGTCAGCATGTCATGATGTTTTTGGTCGAGCACCATCCACATCGGTCGTTTCTTGGAGATGATAGTGTTTATGATATTTGGAATCTTGGTCGGTGGCTGACAGGGTGGGGGGGAGGGTTGTAAGTGCATTGAGCATCTCTATGCTTTGGTAACTTTCACTTTAGGTCGAAGGATACTTGTCTAATTGCGATGGCTTTTTTGTTTTTCTTCTTCTTCTTTTTTCTTCTTTTCCTCTTCTCGTTTATATCAGCCGGACGGACCATATTCTCCTGTCCAGCAAATAGTAACTGGAGAGATTTAACCTCTCAACTTTTTGTTGTCTCGCATTCTTGCATGCTTGAGTCGTTTGAGGTCGTCCAAGGTAATGTCTTCTTCACGTGCCCATCTAGAGGGCCATTTCTGAATAGGAGCTATCAGAGCGAGATAAAACATGGCTCATGTGGATGAAATGTGATCTTTCCTGAAGCCTTTTCGGTCATAACTTGTAGTAAGGCAAGTTCATCGCTTTCTTTTCTTTCAAGGAGACACAGATAGAATAGGAGTTTCCCATTGCTGTTTCCACTTCATGCTTCATTAAACTTTCTTCAGATCTAAAAAGGGGGGGGGGGGGTGTCTGTCATCCACACCCTGTTCGTGAGCTAAATACATAATATGCCACTTGTTCATCAGATAACTTTTTATTCTTTATACACAGATTTTGTCTTCCAAATTGAAAACAACATTCATTCCTTCTCTCTCTGTACTCTGTTTTCTCATGCCTCAATCTCTTCACGTGTCCAGTTAGCCACGGCACCGCCGCCAACCTTGCGGCCGCCCTGCTTCCTCTTGACGCGGGAGGTGATGCCGACGTTGGGGTCGAGGATGAAGCGCCAAATGACATAGGTCCAGCTCTCGTGGCGGGGCAGCTCGTCGTAGAACTCGCTGGCGATGGCGCGAAGCTTGGGCAGGCGGGTCCAGGGGACGGCGGGGAAGTCGTGGTGCTCGTTGTGCAGGCCGACGTTGTAGGTCAAAAAGTTGAGGGGACCGTAGTAGGAAAAGGTCTCGGGGACAGGGATGTTGTTGGCGGCGTCGCGCTGGGCGGGGGTGACGGTCTCGTAGACGTAGTGCTCGGCGATGAAGTGGCCGGCGAGCGGGTGGAGGGAGCCGGCGAGGAAGGAGGAGAGGAGGAAGTAGAGGATGGTGTTGAAGCCGAAGGCGGAGTAGAGGGCGTAGTCGAAGGCGAGCTGGACGGCGATGTTGAGGTAGTGGACCCAGGTGAAGGGGACGCTGTAGACGAGGGTCGGGCGGACGGCGTAGAAGAAGATTTGGAAGGTGCAGAAGAAGGCCTTGCCGAGGATAGAGTCGAAGAAGACGACTTCGAGGGCGGTGGGGAGGTCGGTGTCGAGGCCGTCGACGCCGAGGGACTTGTGGTGCGTCAGGTGGTAGGGCTGGAGGGTATAAATGTCAGTGTTTGTTCCTCTATGTTCTCCTTTTTCTTAAATATTGAAGGCTTTCCAAGACTTACACGGAAGGAAGCGCTATAGGGTACGCCAATGGGCAGGTTGGCAAAGATGGCGAACAGGCGGTTGGCGAGCGGGGAGCGGAAGGCGAGGTTGTGAGAGATTTCGTGGATGGCGAGGAAGAGGTTCTGGTTGGCGGTGGCGCCGAAGACGTAGCCGACGAGCCAGAACTTCCAGGAGAAGAAGGAGGTGTCGCGGAGGTACCAGGCCCAGAAGATTTGCATAGCAACGACGCCGGCGACGACGTACTTTGTCAGGGGCTCCGGCCCGCAGAGCTTAGTGACCTATTGACGCGGTTGTTACTCATTGGGAATTCTACCAGCGAGACATTGGCCACTGCTGTAGAGCATTGCGGTTTGTAGAGTAGGAGGAAAGGGG